AGCCGAGCACTACTTCAACCTTTTCAGAGTTCACTGACACTTCATCCTTTAATATGATGTGTCCCAGAAAGGTAGTCTGCTCAAGTTAAAATTCACACTTACTCAACTTTGCATACAGTTTCTTTTTTCTGAGAACCTACAAAACCTGAGTTAGATTGTGAGCATGTTCCTCTCTGCTTTTTGAATAAACCAGGATGTCATCGATAAACACAATAACAAACTAATCCAAGAATTGTCTGAAAATCATGTTCATCAAGTCTATGAAGATGGTTGGGGCGTTCGTTTGTCCAAATGGCACGACCAGGAACTCATAGTGTTCGTACCTGGTTCGAAAGGCTATCTTGGGGATGTCTTCTGTCCTGATTTTCACCTTATGGTAACCTGGACGCAGGTATATTTTGGAGAAGACCGGGGCACCCTGCAACTAATCGAATAGGTCATCAATCCTGGGAAGAGAATACTTATTTTTTATTGTGATTTTGATTGTGACTCTGTTCAACCCTCTGTAATCAATATATAACCTCAATGTCCCATCTCCCTTTCTAGCAAAGATGACTCCGGCATCCCAAGGGGACACACTATGTCGAATAAAACCACTGTCCTGCAATTCAGTGATCTGTTTTCTCAGTTCCTCCATTTCAACACGGCTCATGCGGTAAGGAGGAATCGAAATAGGCTGGGTGTCTGGCTGGAGGTCTATGGTGAATTCGACTTCCCTATCCACTGGCAGTTCAGGTAGTTCATCCGGAAACACATATAGAAAGTTTCGGACTACTAGAATCTCTTGAATATAAATACCTTTTTTGGGTTTGTCGAATTAGAGAAAACAGCAGGGTTAAAGTACTTGACAAATAAGAAAATTTGCCATGAAGGAATAAATACTAAATGATTTTATTAATTTGTAAATGACTCCTCATTAGGAGGATTGAATACAACCTTCTTGCTAAAACAATCTACGGTGGTGTGATACATTGTTAGCCAATTCATTCCTAAAATTATATCAAAATCCACCGTGTCTAATTATATCAAGTCCACACTTAATTTTTTATCTGATATATCTATGACACAAGCCTTGTAGACAACTTCTCCCAATAGTGTCATACTCCCAGCAGTAGACACAAACAACATACAATCAAGTTTATCAGGTAATACATTAAATTTTGATACAAAAACAGGTGAAACAAATGAATGCGATGCACCGGTATCAATCAAAACATGAGCAACATAGTTACAGATAGTGTACATACCCTGTACCACGTCCAAGTTGGCTTCTGCATCCTGCTAGGTGAGATTGTAAGCTCTGCCCTAAATAGGAGGTCTCTCCTGATTCTGGTTCCTTGGGCACTTCCTCACATAATGTTGGGCACTACCACATATGCGACAGGTGTTGTTGAGGCGATAGTAGGATCGGTCCCTATAATTTCTGCCACAATGCTGACAGATCTTACCGTGTCCTGCTACTGGAGCCTGAGGGGGAGCCTGGATCACTGGCCTAAGCCTCTTGTTCTGTTGAACAGGCACAGTAGGTGCTAGTATGCGGGGTGAAACTGAGGGTCTGAGATTCCCTGTTGCTTGAGAGAGGGTGTGAAAGCTCCTTTCCACTAGCTGTACCTTGGCCAGAACGGCCGAATAAGTCCTGAACTCCAGCACAAACAAATGTTGTCTAATCTTTGGGCGGAGACCCCACTCGAACCTCCCAACCTTCCTACCTTCATCCAACAACGTCTCAGGGAGTATCGGCCCAACTCTAGAAACTTGCGGGCATATTCTGACACAGTCATGTTTCCCTGGACCAACTGTAACAAACTCTATCTCCTTCAGATGTCGAATATGCTTCTGGAAGGTACTC